AGTTTATTCAACTCCTGCACTAACCTTGTCTTTAGAAACTTTTTATATTCTTTGCGATGCTGAGATAAGATTCTGGAAATAGTTTTTCTAGAACTACTCTAGATATTTCCAGTTCATCATTTTTCTCGCAAAGCATTCGAAAGCATTCGCAAAGCATTCGAGAGCCAAACCCTGTAATGTACGGAGGGAATTCACAGAATGATGCGACTGACAGTTTGGAACATTCGGCTCTGTAACAGTAATAATGACATGTCACTTATGTAATGCTCATTATCGCAGATCAAACTGCTTTTTCCGTCTACACTCATTTTCAGTAGACTCATCCAGCGAACTCCCACCTGAGACTGCAGCGCTGGGTTCTGCAAAGTAATTTGAATGAATAATGATGCATCAGGTTTCTTTGAGCGTGCGTCTAACACATATTCTTTATATTGAATCTACTAAGTGTATTCATGACCATGTCCATAATTGTATCCACATTCCAGCTTATTTTTATTTTGACATTTGAGTTTTCCTCAGTACTTTTCTCAACATCTGTGCTTGTTGAACCATACTCAAGTCCATACATCTTGTCTTTCGCTATTACATGAATATATAAAACTGTTGATGCCGAGTGAGAATTCAAGGTACCGAATCTGTCGTGCGAGCTAAATAAGAACCAATAAAAAGCTATACAAAGGAAATTTTGTTAAAGGAGGCTGTATGGGCATTAGAATAGCACATGCCATGCTAAAAAAAAAAAATACAAATTCTTGTTAGGTATGCAAGGATGACAGTGTTGTGCTGTTTCTGATGTGTCACAAAAAACAAAAAAAAATCAGTGCCATACAGTGTTCCTTATGGAAGTACAAACTGTTGAATTCGAAGCCCAGAAGTTTTATTCAAGAATGTTCCTCAATACAAATGTATTTTGAGATCTGAGCCACTGACTGATACGTGACTATGTGGCAAACATTCATTTTCATGTGCATTATAGTTTACTAGGTCTAGTCTGCATTGATTTATTGCATTCATGCTGAAACTGGGAGGAATTCTCAGGGTATGAATAAAGAGATAAACATTTCTTGATATCAAAACATTTGAGAACGGACAAAAGGAAGGATCTGAGAACGGTATCTTAGATTCTCCCTTTTCTTACAGTATATCTAATGTTCACTTTATTTCACCTGATGCATTTAGTTTTTAGCGCAGCTGTTAGCACCCGTTTCCGCGTTTCGCGGCGTCGCTGTCGGCGTAACCGCCCAACTAAACTTGGCAGGAAATTGAATTAATGTTGTGGTCATGTGACGTTAATATTTCCGCTAAGTCTAGCTGAGAAACTGAGTGTTTTTATGGATGACGTGACACGGTCATGCGACGTCATTTTCCCCGCTACTTTTAGCGGAAAAACTGCATTTGTGTTGAGGTCATGTGACATCAATTTCCGCGCTAAATTTATTGGGAAACTTAACCCGCTAAATTTAGTGGGGAAATTTCCCCCTAAATGGGAGGGAGCAGAAGAGGAGGAGGGGAGGGGAAGGAGGGGTATACCCTCCCATCTTCCTCTTCGAGAGCTGTACTGTATTTTCTCATTACAGAGAATTGTAAACGTCTCATATTTCATCTCATGTTTTTTCAACTTTTATATTGCAGGTGCGCTTGCAGCACAAATCTGGGTTGTGCTGATCCTCTACGCACAAATTAGGAACTCCTGAGTGACAAGAGTGGGAGTTTGGTCTGACAGCTCAAGGGACACCATTGTTCAGTATTGAATTTTTAATTATCTTCTTTTGAGCAAAGTTAAGCTTTGCTGCATGCAGTTCTTCTAAAAATAAATACCTGCAACCAAATTTACCAGGTCACGACATTTTGCCTCTGCTCTTAGTGCTCCTGGTGAGCCTCGGATGAGAGCTTACTGGGGTGCAAACATCATAATTGTTTGAAACCACTCACTGATGTAGAGACTTATTGACATCCAGCATTCCAATGAAACGCTGGATATCCACAAGTCTTTCTTGAACAATGCAAGCGGGAAAGGAACCATACAATCATATTGTATTGGGGGACATTCTACAGAGTGTTTTTTTGTATATTTTACAGATTTTTTTGAAAAAAGCCGTAAAAGCTACATTTACGCAGTCTGTACACGTGAAGTATATGGCCAGGGCGGCATAGTATAAAAGGCTAATTTGTAATGATCAGTCGGCTTATTACAGAGATGTGCCAGACTTCTTTCAGAAAACTAGATGGAGGTTCATTCTCGCGTGGTTTTATCCCGTGAATCTGAATATCCCGTTCGTTTTCCACAAAGATATAACTAAACGTGAGAAAACACAAAAAAAACATCCTACCAATAGTGACATCGTAAGAAGACCTTTCAGCCGCCAAGTGTATGTCGCTTAAGGGCCGCGCGTCCAGTCGCAAGTTTTCTAGGTATATTCTCCCGCATTGGCACCAGTCGTGACACATTTTTCTGCCCCTTTAAAAAATAGCATGTGCGTGCATAGCTTTCATAGGCACTGAAGATGCGTGAACAAAGATTTTGAAAGCTGCTCTTGTGATGTCCCTCTCTAGGGAAGTGCTTTCAAAGCGCTTTAAAAATGACTATGCAGCCTCGATTAATTAAATTAGCAAATAATTTTGATATTTGAGATTCTGGAGGTCAAATGAAGAAGATTTAAAAGTGTTTTCTCAAATACAAAACCGCTTCAGCCTCTCTCTAAGTATAGTATGTTCCTAAAATTTTTGATCAGTGAAAATAGACCCATGGTTCCAATTAGAAACTTCTAAGCATCATCAAAACACACTAAATCAATTTTCTTTGTGAAGATATAAGACAAGAGCAGCATTTTATGGTGTTCTAAAAGAATGGTCAATTTGGACGCGTTTCCAGACTTCGGTTTCTTACCAGAGCGCATCTTTGCACCTACGGTCCTGCTGCCCGGTGGCCGCAGTGCGAAGCCGCCCCCTCGCCTCCCTCGTAGGATGGAGGGAAGCAAGGCGCACGTGTGTTGCGCGTCTAAGCCCCTGGGGAACAGGACCGTGGGCGCAAAGATGAGCTCTGATAAGAAACTGAAACCTAGAAACTCGTCCAAATAAAGCATTTTTACAGAACGCGTAAAATGCTACCCCTGCATTATATCCTTCTAAAAAGAGTTGATTTTGTGGTTTTCAGTGACTCGGCAAGTTTTCAATAGAAACCATAGTTTCATTTTCACTAATTAAAAAGTTAATTAACAAATTGTATTTAATTATCTGACTGATCGTTACGACTAGGTCCCTATACTACGTACGCCTGGCCATATAACTCTCCTGCACAAATCGCATTAATTTAGCTTTCACGGCCTTTCTAAACATATATGTAAAGCTTAAAACTAAATTGCCGTGTACAACAGTGAAAAGGCGAAACCACCATGTTGGAGCCATATGGCTCCAACATGCCGGTATCGCCTTTTCGCTGGTATAGGATGTCCCATATTACGTTATCCATGTATGGTTCCGTCCGCCTACATGATTCCGCCATAATCCACTACGCCGGTATAGGATGTCCCATAATACGACACGCTTGTATGGTTCCGCCTACCTGTATCATTCCGCCGTAATCCACTATACTGGAGCTGCCTTTTCGCTTGTATAGGATGTCCCATATTACGGTTACGCTTGTATGAGCCTTTTCCATCATCTTTCCATCTTCGATATTTTCCAACAGGGAAAAGACGTCGTCTTGATGTCGGGCGGTTGCACGTCCATTTTGCAACCCGCGGACGTCTCATGGATGAAGCCCTTCAAGGACGCGTGGAATTTGGGCATCGTTCTTCCGGTTCGGTGACTCCAAAGGGCAACCTTCGCAAGCCGTCGCGTCAAGAGGTTGTGGACTTGGTGGCTCAGGCGTGGGCCTCCGTCTCCGAGGATACCGTGCGGAGTTGGTTCAAACGGAATATCCACAAGGCTCGATGGTTCCGAGGATGGCGAGCTCAACGACCGTTTGGCTTCGGTAACCAATGGACCCGAGGATCCCGAGAGCCTCATTGACGAGGCGTTAGAGCTAGGGAGGCGTTAATTCGCTCTCATCGCTCTAGCGCCTCTAACGAGGCGTTAGAGCGATGAGAGCTAGGGAAATAAAAACCCACGCTGCTTTGGCGCACGCGTTACTCGATTTTTGTTTGTGATCACCCACCCCACTTTTTTTGCCAATTATCTACGGCGAAAAGGGGGGCGTTAATTCAGGATTTTACGGTATGTGAAAGGAATTCACTGCGTTACAAATTACTTTAAAAAAATTAATGCAATTATTTTACAACTACTTATTTCTGAGAGTTACCCACCATGGGCCATATAACTTTAAACGAGTTATATGGCCGCTGTATAAATGGTACATATTTTACTTTCCGTTTATGAAATTGTTTGAATGAACTATAGAACTTAACAGTTTGAAGTAATGAACTCCTGCGTTCTTACACTCTAAGAAAAAGGGGAGCGCGACTTAGTCCCCGAGGGGAGCAAGTGCCTTGCCACAACCATTAGTCCCCTCGGGGACTAACGGGAAGGGGAGTAACAGTTGGACCCCTCCATTAGTCTCTCGCAGTTGCGCCGTTGCAATTGACCCCTGGAGACTAACTGTTAAGCCCTTGCAGTTACTCTCTGGGGACTAACCGTTATTCCCTCGCATTTGAACCCTTTGGACTAACCTTTATTCCCTTGCACTTAGACCCTTAGGACTAACTGTTATTCCCTCACATTTGAACCCCTAGGACTAACTTTTGTTCCCTCACACTTAAACCCTTAGGACTAACTGTTTTTCCTTCACATTTAGACCCCTAGGACTAACTGTCATTCCCTAGCCCTTGGACCCTTAGGAGGAACTGTTAGTCCTGTACACTTGGACCGCAGCGGCTAATATTTTAGCCTAACCTTGCACACACTGCAGGTCCACCGTTGCAGTGTTGCTGCAGTGTCAGAAAAAGTATACTGGTTCCAAGTCAAATATTCCTTTATTTTTCATTTAGAGTGCTTAGGTTTGTTTACAGATGTCGCCCTCAAAAAGTGACATTGGTATTCTGAACAGAATAGATACATGTGAAAAATACAAACTCAGGGTAATCAAACCCTGAAAAATATGAAAACCAAAATACTAGACCAAAATTCTACAAAACAAGTTACTAAACAGGCATTGGACATGATGAGGAAACTAAAAGATGATTAATTACGAAACATCCACTGCACTCTGAAACACTTTCAGAATATTAAAACAAAAAAATCTTACAAACACATGTACACTTGCACAATGCCGGCTCAGCCATCTATGATTCCTAGAGCCACAAGAACAAGAGGGCTGGCTGTAAGACCGGATTTGACACCAATGAGGTGTGACAATAGCTGCAGTGTCTTTGCAGCCTTGGGATTGAATTCCATGTTCAGGGTCCAGTAAAGAGCTGTCATCGTGCCGACAGCCCCCAGCAGAGTGTGTTCCTGAACCCGAAGCTCATCCACACAAACAAAAAATGAAGTCGCGTCGTAGACGTCGTCGCCCTCGTAGCCAATGGCCGGGTACGTTGGCTGTGCCGCAGGGTCCTAAAGAAAGAAAAAACAAAAACATTTCCATTCAAGATATGCTGATCCACTTATATTTTTAAAGCAGCCATGAAACGATTCTCAGACTTCGGTCAAATGATTGCGGCAATTACTTCCTTTCGATAGTATAGTCAAGATCAGAAAACCAATTTTGTACAGGAGCGCTGTTTTTTATCTTCAGAAATAAAATAGTTTAGAGTGTGAGGTACTCATCAACGTTTACACCACTTATGGGTCACATGTGTAGCCATGGGTCATGAGAAATGTAGACTTCCAGTTTTAGTGTGTCTTGTGCACCCCCAGCATTCATTGCAGTGCAGCCTCAAGAGCGGACCTTCTACCGCAGCATTTTTTAAAGCAAAGAAATTAAATAAATGCTCCTGCTATTACCACTACTAGCTTTGGGTTATGTCTCGAACGGGTGCCTGTATTTTTTAAAAAAGAAGCATGCAAATGAATGAGGCCGAGGAGACTTGGTCGCGTTGCCAATTCTCATTCCCTCTCCTCTTCGCTTTGTCCCCTCGATGAGGTGAACCGAAGCGGGGAGGAGAGAAGCGAGGCCGTTTTCTCTCATTCTCAACAGTTCCAGGGGAATGGTTACATCACATTCTTCCCTCAGTCACGCCCTTCTTTACCAAAAATACCATCCGTTTGGGATATTGCGGCATGAGTGATGTTTTTCGCTTCATGGCGTCCCATTCAACATTTCTGCAGACTCATTTTGTGGAATCCAAATTTTAGTTCAGCATCCCTTTAACATTCTGTCTGGGGCACCGCGGAACACCGCGAGGCAAACCCTGTTACAGTGAAGCACTGGGGAGCGGGTGCTCTCGTTGACTTCCTTGGGTAGATGGTGCCATTAAAACTTTGCACAATGAAAGCCTGCCGATAAGACAAGACTTCTGACATATTTTTGTAATGTCAGAGGAACAAAATCTATTAAAATTTGTGAGGAAACAATGCATCACTGCACCAGTGGGTTTAATGAAGCATTATCTCTACACCTCTCAAACTATATTACATTATCTTACAACTTTCAAACCCCAATAGAAACTACTTTTACAGAAAAATCAGAATCCTAAATACAATGGTAATTATGATTTTGTGTTCAGACAAAATGTTTGACACCTCTGACCAATAAAAAAACCTCCTTCAATACTGTTATGAGCCGCGCAATTTTAACACCCTCAGTGCCACTGTACACTGAAGTATATTTTGCCTCTTCAGATGAAAATATGATGCACTGTTATTTTGTTGTTTAGTCCTTGTTTCCCAAATCTTCTGAACCACTAAGGCAAGAAGCGTAAAAAAAAGTCAGGCGCTGAAACATTATGAAAAGGTTGCTTGAACATTGTTTCATGAATCCTTTAAAGGAGCGGTGCAACGATATTCTACTGGAATGCATTTCACTTTACAAGAGCTTACTGGCACTAGTGGGACTCAAGGATACTCGGACCAACGCCACTGGCCAAGAAACTCCTTTGTTGCAGTGTAATTTCAAGGACAAAAGCGATCATTTTCATTCAATCTCTCCGTTGCAAAATTCGATGACGTAATGTGGGGATTGCAGTACACCCCAATGACGATATTTGTATGCGATTCATAAATTGGACCCGAGAGTTGCGTGGGCACTCGATTTGGGCTCGTGATAATCACTAGCTCGAGAAGCATTCAGGTAGTGGCTCGTGTCCAATAACGACGTGTCCAGGTAGTGGCTCGTGTCCATAACGACGTCTGGAACTCAGCGCGTACCCTGTGCTTTGCCGACACCAGCGCGTGGCTATGATCAACATTGGCGGCATATAATCGGCTCCAGATCACGTGGCCGCTTGTTCTGGCTGCGAGTTGAGGGGGCGAATGCTGTTCGTTTTTCTTTTAATTTTTTTTCTGGGACTTCTATTGCGTGGGGTGAAAAACGAACACGTGGTTCATAGGTCATTAACTTCAGGGATCCATTCTAAGCGGTATTTGCACGAAGTACAAAAATTGTTGCATCGCCCTTTTAATGTTGCATGCTTTAAATTAGATTCACTAAAAAAATTCGGTGAAAAATCAGCTCAATATTGAAGCACCTAGCGTCCCACCAATGAAAGGCAAGCACTATAACATGAATTCACTAGAATCCTTGTTAGCCAGTGCTGTGGGATCAGTTGTCAAGAAGAAGGCTTGTCCCCTATACTCACATCTGGGTAGAGGAAGGACAGGCTCCTTTCCTTCACCAAGGATGGCAGTGCCTGCAGCGCAGCCCTGAACAGCATTTCTGTAACAAGAAAAAACCATTAAGACATTTACTATGGGCTACCCGCTGAGAACATAAAATGAGGCCCTGGAAGCTTTCCCATTACTTTCAACATAACAAGCCATCAACTAGTCCATAAAGTTGGGAAATATGAATCTGTTTTATGCCACTTTTTTATCTATCAATGTGCCATATCATCACATTCCTCGCACAGAATTTCCATTCTCTGCTTGAAATTGCCCCTTTCCCACACTATTGTGGCAATGGCAGCAGTGACACAGAATATGTTATTTGGGGCACCTGTCATAAGCCTGATTGGAGACACATTCATGAAAGAGTGCCCTGCTGAAGCAAGCACTCAAGCAGTAGTGGAGCATGATGTTTGCAAACGTTTTATGTTGCACAGCACATCTACAACTCTTCTGTTTCGAATCTATTATTTTCCCTCGGAGCACATGCTTGTTCTCTTCCTTCTGGACTCCCACACTCTCCCCACCACATCTGAGGGAGCACACCATGCTTCCTTCTGAAAAGCTTTCAAGCTTGCTTTCCCATGTGGACATTTAACTCGGGGGCTTAGAAGTTGTTCGAAACTGAGCGTTTCCTCTCTTTTTGTGGTACTTTTTTATACTGGTGAATTTTTGGTGTGATGCAGTTCCACTACCGAGGCATGCATCTTATGAGGTGCTTGATGCTAGCCCTCTACCATATTTTCTGTTTAAATGTATGCTTTAGTTGCACTGAGCTAGAACAAGCAGCTGAATAAATAACAAAGTACAGTCACAAGTTAATCCCTTAAACGACATTAGGTTCAGGAATGTGGCCTCCATTCCTGCCTCTCGGAAGTAACTGTCAGGTTTCAACATCAAAATTGGTGACGAATCAGAAGCCACAAAAAATTATAAAGCCCATGCAAAATTTTCCTCCTCTCCTTGAGAGCCCTAAAAGTGCTGTGCAATGATTTCAACATTGAAAGGATTCACACTTTGTAATTTTCATATTGGTTATCATGTGACAACCATCCCAAAAAGCATCACCTTTCTCTGAAATACTGCGATTCCGCCACATAATTGTAAAGCAAAAAGTGGTAGTATCTTCCGACCTGCAGCCGTGGAAGCTGCAGCTTGACATAGTTACAGGTGGCATTTATAATAGACAATTTGCAATTTTCCCAAGCGCCCCGGCCCGCGCGCTAGGAATTGTGGGAGAAACTGTCCCTCGCCTGGCCACTCTGCTTTGAGATTGCATTGCCTTGTCGCTTGTCTCCTCTTAATCCTCTATTTTTGATTCTATTACCTATTTTTATCTATTCCAGTGTAGTTTTTATTGCTTCTAAGTGTTTCACTTCTCTTCTGCGCACAATATTTCTTATATATATATAGTATTTGTGTCTTTATTTTTGCCTTTTTGACCGGAGTGCCTACGGACAACACGCCGCTTCGCGTGTCATTCCCCGGTCGAGTACTACTGTTGCTATCGATTCCTATCGGGCTGTTAGCTGTTCATTTTTGGTTCATTTGACCCGCGTGCAGTCGAGAGGAGTCATTTATGAACACCCGCGCACATGTTGTAGGGGTAGGCAGACCTTGTAATCAACAATTGCAACGTGAAAGCCAAGTGTGCTGTGATTTGGCTGCCCGCGCTCGCCCCGTTGACTCGCACTGTAGCGTGTGCCTTCGAGTGCCGCTTACTTGACCAAGATACAGCACACCGCTTTGTCGCTGCGAACCATTTGTCCGAATGTTTGCGAAGCTGAGGCATATGCAACGGTGCGGCACCTGACAACTACGCGCTGCGGCGCGATCCCTTTGCAAACGCCGACGGCTCAACATCGCGGTTTGAATGCGCCTATGGCATGCCTTCGTAATCTATTTGCTAAGCTGCTGTCAGTTGCCAATGCCCTTTTTCAAGTGCAGAGATGTGTTGCCGCAAATCATTTGTCTGAATGCCTGCGAAGCCGTAACAGCATTTGGCATATCCAACGCCGCGGCACGTGACAACAACATGCAGTTGTCTTCACCCGAATGCTTCACAGGACACTGCCTTTTGGAAAGCGGTGCCAGGAAACATGCTGTGCGCTGGCAGTATTTTTTGCAGAGCCTGGTACAAAGCAAACTGTACAACCAGACATGTTGCTGCTGAAGGTGACCTAATGAAATAAAATAACTTGAGTTGACATCTTGACTAGAGAAATAAAGTTATCGAAGGAACTACGACTTTAAGATAACTGCCTGGGCGACAGCACATTTCTGCACTTGAAACAAGGTGTTTGGAACTGACAACCTCCTAGCAGATAGATTAATAAGGCATATATACCATAAGCGCATACAAGCCGCGACATCGGACCACCCTCGCTCAAGAAGGGCTCGTGCCGCTGCGCGCAGTTTGTCGGGCGGTGCAGCGTTGGATATGACGAACAGTGTTACGGCTTCGCAGGCATTTGAAAAAATGATTTGCAGCGACACGTCTGCGCACTTGAAAAAGAGTGTTGGCAACTGACAACAGCTTAGCAGATAGATTACGAAGGCATGCCATAGACGCATTCAAGCCACAACATTGAGCCGTCGGCGTTTGCAAAGGGATCGCGCCGCAGCGCGTAGTTGTCTGGCGCTGCAGCGTTGCATATGCCTCAGCTTTGCAAACATTCGGACAAATGGTTCACGGCGACAAAGCGGCGTGCTGTATCTTGGTCAACTAAGCGGCACTCGAAGGCTCATGCTACAGTGCGAGTCAACGGAGCGAGCGCGGGCGGCCAAATCCCAGCAGACTCGACTGTCATGTTGCAATTGTTGATTCCGAGGTCTGCCTACCCCTATGACATGTGCGCGGGTGTTCATAAACGGCTCCTCTTGACTGCACGCGGGTCAAATGAACCAAAAATGAACAGCTAACAGCGCGATAAGAATCGGTAGCAACTGTAGTACTCACCCGGGGAACGACGCGCGAAGTGGCACGTTGTCCGTCGGCACTCCCGTCGAAAAAGGCAAAATAAAGACACAAATACTATATATATACAAAAAATATTGCACACCGAAGAGAATAGAAACACTTAGAAGCAATAAAAAATACACTGGAATAGATAAAAATAGGTTATAGCAGGGGTGGCCAGGCTGACCCTGCCTAAGAGCTGCAAACAAACCCCCCAAACCTCTAAGAGTGGCGGGGGGGGGGGGGGGGGGGGAGGGGGGGGGGGCTTTTATTTAGAGCAATAAACGAAACTCGGACTACTTTCGATCTGTTCGAGTCAAAAGCAATCTAACTGACTGTACGTATAGTAGCAGTAGCACAAGACCAAACCGCAACCTGCCTTTCGATTTAAGACGCGTTCCATTTCTCTTTTTGGGGAAGTGCTCGTGTGACCGTGAGGGAGGCGGGAGAAGTGGAAGGGGGGGGGGGGGCTGTTAGGTGGAGGGATGCGAGCCGCACTTTAACACATGAAGAGCCACATGCGGCTCGCGAGCCGCAGCTTGGCCAGCCCTGGGTTATAGAATCGAAAAACAGGATTAAGAGGAGAAAAGTGACAAGGCAACGCGATCTCAAGGCATAGCAGCCAGGCGAGGGACAGTCTCCCACAATTCCTTGCCCGCGGGCCGGGGCGCTTGGAGGATTTCGCAAAGGGTCTATTGCGCAAGATATGCATATCTGCTCAATATAAGGCTTATCTCCTATAAATAATGTTGCTTGAATGTGAACAGAGACATAAAAAAGGCTTTGTATCACTATTATAGCTGCCTAATTTTAGTGGCGCCGTCTCCCCGATGTTCATGAAAACCCAGTTGAACTAAAAACGAAACTAACTTCTGTGTCACATGATCAGTTTAAATATTACGAGAAATTACCCAAAGACGCGCTTTTTATTTATTATACAACAATATGTGATACACCTTGTTGTTTTTAATGCCACTCGAACAAGTACCAAAAGTCATTCTAGGTTAGGTGGCACATGCTTCAGGATAGGTGGCACCAGCTACCGCCCGCTACAAAGTGTATAGTCATTATCATTAGTCCAGTTGGTCTCTCCACCACCTTCCCCGTTCGGCGAGTCGCAAGCTTGCCGGAATCATTTTAGCGGCAGCTCGGATGCCTTAAAAATGTTAACAATGCCAGAATGTTTGCTGCTACAATTTTTTTAGTGCCTCCCCTTGCATTCTGAAACAGTAAAGGCTCACTCACACAGAGAGAAAAATGCTCATCTCGGCCGATGTCAACGGTCGCATGAGCAAAGTGGGGTGGCCACACAAGGACAAATTTAGTGTAGTAATGAAGATGTCACATTCATCATCAATTTTATTATAAATGTACCTTGTGTGCCTGCCCTCCTTTGCTCAATGCAACCGTCGGCGCCTGCCGAGGCACGCATTTTTATCTCTGTGTGAATGAGTCTTAAGTGCTACGCAAACGGCGGCAACTGGGTGCTGTGACAATCGTCACCTTCAACTCCTTTGGGCAGTACACACCACCATAACAACTGTACTGCACAACATACCACAACTGGAATGACATCACCAGCCTGAACCACGTCAATGCGCATGTGACTTGGAAGCCTGTGGAGGAGTTGAGTGGTGCCGCGGACCCCGATCTTTTAGAAATTTTTTTTTATAAAGTCTACGGCATGCAGAAAAATATGGTTTTGTGCTTGAGAATTAAGAGAGAAAAACTTCCACAATTATTCGATTGAAGTGCAAAAATCGTTGCACAGCCCATTTAAAAGAACTCAGCACTGGATGACCCGGTTTACTGTGTTTTGTTGTCAACACCAGCCTATTTAAGCAATTATTCCTTACCATCTTCTGGGTTAGACTCAGCGCTAAGAAACCGGTTGTCGAAGTCCTGGAAAAAACCAGCGAGGTGTCGCTTGCCCCTGGCTGCCTCCAAGACCCTCAAGCTGCTATTCACTAGGCCAGACATCAGCCTATCTTCTATGGTCTTGCCAGTGACCGCTGTGAACTCTTGCTGCACCTGAAAATAAATTTAAAAAAAGGAACTGTACATGCAATTGATCTGTCATTCTGCAATGCTCAGTTTTAAATTCCAATGACACTTACAAAAGTACCATGCCGCAGTGCAGGGTACTTGTCCACAATCGCCGCCACAGTTGGGTGTTCGACTGTGACCCACAGCCTTCGTGTGGCCAGCGTCCGCGCCATGGAGTCTTCCACATATGTCATGTTGGGCTTGGGCTTTTGGAGTTCTCTTTGCATCTCCAAGACGTGCCCCTGGATGCTGTTAGCGTCCTCCCCATCCATTGGCAGCACTATGTCCTGCAATATGTTACATGGAAACAAAGGGTTGGCACCAAAGCTATTGATCAATCAAACCGAAAATACTATTTCTGAAATAAGCTTCATACAGTGCCAGGCCTGGTGACACGCCTTGGTGTGGGGTCTCGGGGTGGCCTGGAGGCCTTTGGTGGCCGCACCTCGCCCTCGCAGTCGTCGTCCTGCCTGGCACGCTCCCGAAGCTTGCGCCTCTCTCGCTTGGCCTTGAAGCGCAAGGCTATGCGCCACGAGTCCTGCGTGCACAAACGAGATGAAATTTCGGATGTCATACCAGACGTTCTGAAACATAAGCATGCCAATAGCAGCTTGTAGATGTAATCACATTTCATCCAAGACCCATCATGATGACTAAAGCCCACTCCTTACAACTGCTAAAACTAAGTTCTCTAAAATGACAGGTTTGAATACAACATCTTTTTATATGCCACAATGGCAGAGACAATGTATCATTTAAAATATTAAGTTGATTTGATATACTTTCTGTGTACCTTACTTTAGAGGCTTCGCACAGTGGGGGCGACAAGACTGCATTATCTCACGCATCGCAGTCCAGCTGAGTGGACTCAATGGCTTTAGGCAATGCTGGGATGTCTAACGGGCATGATCACATCCAGCCCTAATGGCACCTTATATGTAGGGCTCAGTGTTTTCGGTAAAAGCCGTAAAGCCCCGAATTGAAGCTCTTGAAGGAGAAAAATGAGTTTCATGGCGGGAGACCCATAACTGTATATGTGTCACACTAGAACACCGTCACTTACCTCTCCCAGTCTTATCTCTGTGTCTAGCACGAACCTTGCACAGGGCAGATAATGGTTTGCACCTGCAGTCATGACAGTGACACAAAAGATGGCCACCTTGAACCCCATTCACTTTCTGGTAGTGTTCTCTTAGTTGCACATTAACACATCTGCCTGTCTGGCCCACATATTTCTTTCCAAATGAAAGTGAAAAGTTCCTAATTAAGCAGCGCCTCAATACTTTTTCGAACGGGTTTGTCAGATTACACACTTTTGCGAGCTTCTCTGGTGCGGAGCAGACAACTTCCACGTTAACCCGCTGTGCAATTTTTTCAAGGCTGTGCGCTGTTTTGTACATATACGGCACAACTGCAACTTTCTGTCTAGTTTGATCTTTATTTTTAGTTTATTTTCATTCCTTGGGGCCATATCTTTAAATAGAGATGAGCAATTATATTAAAATCTGACAATCTCCGGTTACTCACACATCCTGTTCCAGTTGAGTCCGAGAGCTCCGGGAAGGTCCTCACGAGCCCCCTTGCCGCTACCTCATATAGCTTCTCTGGAAACCTGCCAGAGCAAACAGTTCAGATGAAGAATGAGCAAAAGGAGAAAGTACAGCCTTGGTACACTGCATGATGCCATTAGCAAGAACAAGTGACTGATTGCTTCTGCAGTGTTCCTAACAGGTGGTGTTCACTGTTGGCCAAAGTATACCTCGCTTCACCTTTAGCCCGAGTGCAGCAGGCACTACGAGCCATCCCACTCAGCCAAACCAGTGCCAGGAGGGTATCAAGCAACTTCCTCGTTGGGCGGAGTCACAGGCAGCGCTCAAGGTCACAAGACATTCTCTCAATCCTGGATTGGCTGGGATGGCCCATACCCCCCACTGCGCTCGGCCTGAAGATTAAGTGAAGTGCAGGTCACTGCTGCTCAGTGCACCTTAAGGGGGGACACTACCCAGAAAAATCAATTTCTGCAAAAAAAAGTTGATTTTGAAAAATGGCATATTTACATCCACCAACATCTGGAGAGTATTCCCAGAAAGTTTCGTTAGTTTACACTGCATAGTTAATTTTTTATAAATTATTTTCGGTCCACCGATGCTAAAGAAAAGGTAGGGTTTGAAGCACTTTGAACGCATTTTTCTCCATTCCACTTTTTGGCATAAATTTCCCTTTAGGAAAACTATCGTTTTGTTATTACATAACTTGGATTTATTTTTATAAGTTTTTCTGGAGTGAAATTTTAAGGGGAAGATAGCTATGAGCTTGAATTTTTTATTTTTGTCATTTTTCATGCTCAATAACTAGCATTTTGGACAAAGGATGGAAATCTAAAAAAACTGCAGCTGTGTTTAGTGGCTTTTTTGTCATTAAATATGGTATAATATAGAAATATAGCTCCATAGCTATCTGCTCTGAACTGTTCTAAAGCAATATAACACATAAAAACAACAAATTTATAAGTAATTTCAAAACGATAGTTTTCCTACGTAGACACGTCCACTTTCGTCTTTGACCATTTCCAACTTTTTTTGTACTTCACCTAGGCTAACAAAATTTGGCACAAATGTTCTCAACATCAACAGAAACAAGCCCTGTAAATGTCATTTAAATCAAACAAGTGGTTCAAAAATTGACTTTTTTGGGTAGTGTCCCCCCTTAACAGCAAGCCCACGCGGTGCTTCGGAAAAGTACACAGTGCGACACTGTTAGCACAAAGAAACCGACAACGATTTTCTAAGATTTGAAAAGGATGTCAAGACACCACCAGAGCTGCGAACATTGCTCACTTGGTACTCGCAAATAGTCAGCAAAACTTTGAGCTCATCAAATCTGTATGTGCAAATCACGAAGAAGCTTTGAAGGTGCATTCGTGCCAAGTGTATCATACAGTGTACACCAGTTACCAATTATGAGTAGAACAAAATGTATGCTGGTATCATTGGCACCCATAAACCAGCTATGAGCATGACAAAAACTGCCAAGATAACATGCAAGGCCAGTGGTCAGTCTTCTTATTGTGGAAGAGGAACAGCACAAAGATATACTAAGGACAAGGAGGTAAATACAGACACGGCACTGAGTACTAACTGAACTGAGTATTTATTTCTGTAATGAAACAGAAATAAACACAAAAAAGAGAAAGAAGCACACAAAGAAACCGATAAGATGGTGCCACACCACACCTACCTGTGGTCAAACGAACTTGCCATGTAAGCCACTATGTGACTCTTCAGTCATTGACAACACACTAACACATGCATTCTCTCAAAGAAATTAAAAAAGCTTTGTCAGTCTCCCTCGCAGTCTTGTTTCTGAGGCAGGCTAGAGTCGTGATTTCATGGAACCGTGGCTCACAGCCGCATCGGCTATAATGAACTACAAGGTGGCCAGGGCACGAAAATGCTCCTTTGCCCTTGCATTCACACACCTGCCCATTTACCCTAGTGGCTCGCAGCCAATGTGGCTGCGAGCCACCATTAAATGAAATCATGATTCTAGCCCGCCACGGAAGCAAGACTGTGAGGAAGATTGCTGAAGTGTTTTGCATTTCTTTGATAAGAGAGGATGTGTATGACAGTGTGCTGTTGGTGGCTCTGGGGAGTGATGAAGAGGCAAGTTCATTTAACCACAGATAGGCATGGCATGGCACTGTCTTATCAGTTTATTTGTGCATTTTTTATTCATCTGTTCATCCTGTTTCGTGCAGAAGTAAACATCTAGTTGGTAGTCAGTGCCATGTCTGTGTTTACCTCCTCTTCTTGTTTTCCATTTATTTTCACGCTGTTCCCCTTCCTCGATGTCAAACCTACCCGCCAAACTTTATGCCTTGCTGCTTCCAGTTCTACTCTCCGAATACATATCTTGATCTTTAGTTACGAATACCCTGCCACGATGCACTGAAGGATTTGTGAACTCCATCCGTGTCCACAATATCAAGATGGGAGATAGTAGCAAAGATTATGCTAGTGCTGTCTGCAAGAGCTGCTGCATGAAGATTAATTGAGGTCACAGTAAGGCCTCGATGTGCCTAGAAGAGCACATCAAGTTTGTAAGTCACATAAAGTGAAAGCCATGCACTATCTGAATGTGAAACTGAAGACAAGAACGATAAGAAAAATATGCACATAGTGTACTACATTTTGGAAGAAAATGCTTTAAAGAGCGCACATGGTCAAAGCATATCCAGTAAAAAGACCCGGTAAATCTTTACCTGTATATATATTCGCTGATAGAAGCCTAAAATTTCATTTTCAAATAAAAACTGAAGAAGGTATGCCGTATTAAAAACAAACTAAGTGTTGAAATGCTGGACCCCCTTTATAGGGTAACACTGAAACCGGCACACTACTAACTTACAGATCATAAAGGCACAAATCGTGGTACAACCACTCGATGATCCTGCCCCTGCACGATAAGTGGTGTCCCTTCTTGTGCTTTCCAAGGGACTGCACAATGTCCAAGGGGACTGGAGGGAAACTGTATGTCGATCGGTCCTTCACGGAAACTCTCGACGGTCCGGGGGCTTCTTGGACGATGACGTCCATGACCCTAGATATACCAGTTGAAGCAACAGATGAGCTACACCGTTTAAAGATGCCATTTCTCGGACGACGACTTGCTGACGTTTCGTCTGACAATGTTGACACAAAGACTTGCAGGGAAGAGAAATGTGCCATACTTTGGGAAAGTAAAGGCAGTGAATTCACACTACCTTAATATATATATCTGACAAATCGCAAGACACAGAAAACTTCCTGTTGTGATTTCTGGTGCTCTATAGCATCAGAACTCAATCAAACACATGGATGAACTACTGTATGTAGCACAGACAATAGTGCCAGAGAGCAACAATAAACATATCTGATGGCTTAAAACTACCTGATGTGTATAATATTATCCTGTTTAGAGTCTAATCTTACTCTGCACGAAAACCTCATATGATATAAAGTGTGGCAGGCAACAGAATTCCATTCCACTTAAAGGAACTTTCAAGCTTAAAAGCCTGTATTACAGAAAAGTAATGTATGTCTATACTACCATAAAAATGCCAGCAAAATGTCAACTCCAAATGCCAATCATTCATAACTGAAATTGCCTCTGAACGTAATTGTAGAGTATTTCGTCACTTCAAGGCTGTGGAAAGTATGACTATAGCAGAGATACGATCTACTGACTTGATTGCAGCAAGCACTTAGCACAACCACTGAAAGTCTCAACTAGCTCCAAAGACGTAGAGGAGCTTAAAGCGATAAATCATTCACCAAGCAAAATGACCCCACCCCCCGGCTGCCCGCATGTTGTACATTTTCTTGACACGTGACTTCATGAAAACTGTGACGACAACAACAAAAACATAGCGCTTTTTTCCTGTGACACACTGGGTGCCACCAACTTTTCGCTGTTATTGTCTCGTATTTGGTGTCAAGGTCAAGAAAATGTACCAGGGGGTTACTTTTGCCTACCAGATCATTGTTCTAAGCCCCTCTACCTCACTGACTAGCTCCGACAGTGCACATACAGCGGAGCATATCGAGATCAGGAGACGGCACCTCCTCATCTTCAATAATCACACCCTAGAGAGCTGTCCCGTGCTCAAGTGTGCTTATTGCCACATGTGAAAGCTGAGCGAGTTTAAAAAATTACCTGCCCGTGATCAAACCACCTGGACCCAAACACCTATTGCAATGCATGCAGTGCTTCCAACATGGTGCTGCAAGGTGCCATGAAAACCTAATATCTATGTTTGCAGGGGTAGCGGGCAGCAGGGGTAGAGGCAAGAGCAAGCCACTGCTGCCACACTACCCTCCTCATGCCCCTTCTCGTGTATTGCGCCACTTGCCGTTGCCAGCCAAAGCCAAAATGACCAATGTGCCAACTGGTCTATGCAATATAATGGCGAGAGCAATATCTAAAGGGGGTGGATTAGAGAAGGCCAGTTACATATGGGCTTTTGGAATGTGTGTAAAAGGTCCAGTGGTTGTCTTAGAAAGCATTTTTGCCCACCTGTACTGCGATGCATCCTGCACAACTGTCAGCTGCGCCTTGTCTTGGAGGACCATGTCCTCCATAAGATCAACGTCGGTGCCGAATCCAGCATGGTAAACCTTAAAAGACAAATAAGATAATGCGCTCACAGGTGCAAATGAAACTGTTTGCATGAGCTGCAACGGTGAAAGGATATGGTTGAACACCATGCCTCTTCCTGCAGCAGATCATGCAGACCACTCAGTAATACAGTGGAAAGCCACTGCACTTCAGTCGTGTCATTGTCTGCTGACCAGCTAAATCATCCACCAAGATTGTGCCGCAGCCTTGTACTGGGACACAAGTGCCTAAGCTACTAAAGAGTAAGATGTTCACATTGTAATGAGACAGAATACACAAGGCATACTTTTTGTTTTTACGGAATATTTGTATGCATGAACCCCAGTGTGATAATGCAATAAACAAGTGGTTGCTGCCTCAAAAGCACTTGCGTCCAAATGTCGCTGAAACTGTGCCAATCGACATACCTCGAGCTGCTTGAGTCCAATCGTACATAAGGTAAGGAGCTAGATATCTGAAGGGGCATGATTTAATCTATATGCATCATCACCCCATTAATACGACACTCGAGCAGCACTACCTCACACTAATAATGATCACACAATGCATGGAGATGATTGGAAGAACTGCGACGGAACTGGCTGTCAACGGACGGACCTGGGAGTATTTGTGCTTCCATGGGCTTAACAATATAGTAACGTTGACTGGAAAGGGCAACCTCAAAGCTCAACGAAGACTCCACATGGAACACAGCCGCACATCTCTCAACTGCGCCATGCGCCTCCCGGCAAAGACATTTTCTTTTCAGATTTTTGCGACGATTAACAGAAACAAGAAAAAAAAAAGCAACCTACATGATCACTACATGGGGACCAGCGGTAATAGCATCATCATCACTACCACCACATAAAAATAACTATGATGATGATCACAGTTGGGGTACTCGGAACACAGGTGCTGATAAGGGCTTCCCTCAGAGTTCTGGACGTGGCTTCACGGTGAATGCACAATGAGAATTCTTAATACAGTCTTGCGTTTGCAGCGAAGCATCCACGTGCAACCTCAACTATGGTCCCTTTGCCGAAATAACTGGTGGTCCAGATGTCGGGCGGATCTAAATAAATTGCAAAAAATCCGATTCGTAAGCTACCCATATAAGTTCGGCTTGTGGTGGATTTACTTGTAAGATTATAAAATACTTACCTCAGTCATAAGCTATGAGGGAAAACAAGTAAATTCCTATGTTCTCCAATGACACCAATAAAGTGACTCCGTGGGCCATTCATACATTTAACAAAAAAAAATGCAAAGAAAGACTTTCTCGCCTTGTTATCGATCCTTGTTTTTGTCTATAAAACGCTCCATGGGCCAACAAGAATGTTTTCTAACTTTAAGAGGAAAAGGCTTCACCTGAAGCCGGCCCATAGAACTTTTGTTTTTACTTGGAACTTTTAAATAGGGCAAGTTTTTCTTTAATATTTTCACAAATTAAATCCACCACCTAGACGAAGTGGTGTGGTAAATTACAGTGTCGTAGCTTGCAAATCTGATTTTTTTTTTTTTGCGACTTATCGAAGTCTCGGCCCGACATCTGGACCCGGACGTCCAGTGGTTGCTGTACCTTATATATGTCCTGGGCACGCGCCGATCAATAGAGGCGAGAAATAAAGGGAAGACAAACACAAGGGCGGAAGAGTCGTCTTGTCCGTCCTTGTGTTTTATGTTCTTCCCGTTATTTCTAACTAGTAATTACACTTACCAGCACGCTCTCCATTCAAAGTATCTAATCATATTCCCTGCATGGGAGACGTAACGCCTGAATAAATTGTTGTCACTGTCCAATGTAGGTGAATTTTTATTAGACCCAGCTTTGGAAACGTTGCTTAACCGCCTTGGCATAAAGAAATCGAAAGCATGATAGGATAGGATAACCTCTCCATAACTTGGTTTTGGGAACACCGCACGACACCCTCCACACAAAGAAAACAAAACCATGCTTACCAGGATGTCGCTTGATTGGAGGTCCAGCCCCTGGAACGCTTCTTTATGCGCAAGGCTTCTGATCAAATCGGGGCGCCTGCGCTCTCCTCCCACAGTGACCACGATTTTGCGTTGGCCGTAACGCACCAAGCACTCGATCGCATCCATTTCAAGGAGCACGTTAGCACACCAGGATCTAAACCGTGCTGAAACCACGACCGGTCGTGGCTGAACCGCTGAACCAGCTAAAGTGACTTGGATTGGACTGGATTGGTTTGACAGGTGGTGTTGGTTTGGTCCGTTTGGCCCCCCCCCCCCCCATGGGACAATTGGATTTATAGATTTATGTTCCTGCGAATTCACGGCATTTATTTCTTTGTTCGTTGTAGTACAGTTTAAATATTTAACACCCGAGTCAATGTAGGACAGTTTAAATATTTAACACCCGAGTCACTTAGCGACCGAATCACTGTAACTCCGCACATACATCCACAAAATCCACTGTCATTTTTCAAAATTGAAAATAAAGCATCCAGCGGTGTGGATGTTATAATTTTTTGTGTGTGCTTTGTATGTTCAGCTGATCCGTTCGTAATAAAATAAAGCTATCATCATCATGAAATAAAGAAAATAAAGCTATGGCCGCTGCTCTAGGTGCTGTATTGTACTGCTGAGCCCACTGGTCAAACTAGTGTTATGGTGTTTGCAAGCTGCCCTTTCTTGCTTGGTCTCTGTGAAAAATGGCAGTAAGGTACTGCCCCAGGTGTCCGTACTTTTCTGAACAATTCACGAAAGTGGTGAATCATATTGGGATCGTGCATGGCGGTGATGCTAACTTCACAATCTTCTGTGGAATCGGTGGGTGCACAAGTAGCTACACGAAGTTTGCATCATACAGATCCCATCTCTACCGGTGCCACAGGGACGTCCTGCTTGACACTGGAAGCAACCTAAGCACCAAAACGAGGGATGGAGACGCTCAAGACCTCGGAGACAACGGCGCTAACGCCGACGCTGAAGCAACTGCGGAGCCAGAAGAAGCGTCCTCCGAAGAAAAAGACTTCGTGGATTTCTTGGCAGAAGCCAGAACAGCGATCTGGAACTTCTTCTTTAACATCACTGAGAACCACAAGCTGGCTCACACAGTGGCAGAGAAAGTCTTCAGCGACCTGCAAATCGTCTTTGAGCATGTCATGAGGGGCTTCGCTGATGAGATCGCAGCCAAGGTTGATCTGTCAGCCCTGCCTCCTGATGTGCTCTCACTTCTCAGGTGTTCATTCGTGCCAGAGCTTTTCGAAGGCATTCAAAGCAAGCATCTCCGTGAACAGTATGTCAAGGCACATACTCCATATGTTGAGCCTAGGACATGTGATCTTGGCTCCGAAGGGGACAGGTACCACTATGTGCCAATTCCAAGGCTTCTTGCAAAGCTGTGTGAAAATCCTGACATTGCTGCCCGACTCATCACGCCGCAAGCAAGCCATGGTGAACCCGAGGTTTACCGAAGCTTCTCAGATGGGCTCCTTTTCCAAGACTTCATGAGTCTTATCCCAGATGGGGCCCAGTACACAATTTTCATTTTGTTGTACAGTGATGAAGTGGAGATTTGTAATCCCCTGGGACCGAAGCGTGGCATGCACAAGCTACTTGCTGTGTACTTCACGTTGCTGAACCTACATCCAAGACACAGGTCGCAGCTACGGTTCATATACCTAGTGCTCCTGGTGAAGTACGACGACGTACAGAAGTATGGTTTGGACAACGTCCTGAGCGCCTTGATCAGTGACCTCAATGAACTACAAGCATACGGACTTAAGTTCATGAGCAAAGAAGCAGCACAGAATGCACTGGTCTTTGTATTCTGTGTATGTGGTGACAACTTGTCTATGAATCGCCTTGGGGGCTTCTCATGTTGCTTTAGTCGGGGCAGGGTGTGCCGGTTTTGTATGGCATTATCTGAAACATTGTCAGTGATAACAACAGAGGATTTCTGTACCCTGCGGTCGGCTCAGGCACACGAGCAACATCTGAAAGCTGTGGCTGTGAACCCAAAGTTAAATAGAAAACTGTATGGTGTGAACGACCGCTCCCCAATGCTGGAGCTGCCATACTTTGACGTGACGCGACAGTTACATTGTGAGCATGTCCTTGCAAAGTTCCTAATATCTGTGTTCACCATTGGCCACACGAATCGAGATGACACAAGACGCTGCGACTTGCGTATCCCGGGGTGCGGGAGCGAGTCGAGGGCGTTAAAAAGCACCTTGTCGAAAGTGTGTCGGTACGTAGGGCCGAGGATGACCAGCACAGATGTCATAGACAAGTGTTTCTTCAGATTCAGGGAGATTGATTTCGTCCAGGACCAATGACGTGGAAGTAGAGCAAAGCTGTTGAGGCTCCTGATCGTCGTTCTGTGCGGCAGCAAGGCCCTTGAAGTTGATGGGCAATCGGCCCGTGTTGCACTGGTTGACTGCTATTCTTGATAGTGCGTCGGCGACATTGTTGTTCTCTAACTTCTCTCCCCTAATGAATCTGATGTCGCTGGGGTATTCTTATATGTATGCCATCTGACGAACGTCCCTTGCGATGTACGATGAGCTGTTGGATATTAAGGCGTAAGTGAGGGGTTTATGGTCTGTCATGACGGCAAACTGACGTCCTTCAAGAAAATGGTGGAAGTGTGGCTGTGGTCGTGCATGAGGTGGCTGTGCCACCTCATGCACGACATTCTAGAAGGAGGCTTCGAGTCCGTTCTTCGCCCAATACTGAAGGCGTTAGTTGAGGGAGGGGTGCTGTCGTACAGTGACATGGACCGCATCGCTTCCTTTGCATATGGGTGGAACGACAAGAAAAACAAACCCGTCGCAATGAACAGAAGCTTTCTAACAAGCAAAGCAAACTTGAAGGGAACTGCATCAGAGAAGTGGTGCCTTCTGCGACTCCTGGGTTTGATTCTTGCCGAGCTGATTCCAGAAGGTGACGCGGACTGGGAATTGTTCCTCCAGTTTTGGGAAATTGTTGACATCAGCTTTGCTCCTGTCGTGCCCAGCGGGTACCTTCCTTACTTGGAGACAACTGTGCAAGCGTTTCTTGTGGAGTTTGCACAGCGGTATGGAAGCACAGCCATCATTCCCAAGCTTCATTACCTCATTCATTATGCCAGAATGATTCGTGAGGTTGGACCACTACAGCAGTTTTGGTCTATGAGGTTTGAAGCCAAACATCAATATTTTAAAACCCTCGCCTCACGGATCAAGAACTTCCGAAACATAACTCTGACCTTGTCCAAACGACATCAGCTAATGCAAAGTCACCAGCTCAAGGAGCTGTCATTAGATGCTCAGCTCATGGCCCCATCTGGCAAGCCTGTTGACCAGAGTGCTCTGCCACCTTCTGTTCAAGACGTGCTGCCACTGAATGCACGCCAGGTGTCGCATGCAGCAATCGACCACCGCGAGTACCGGTGCGGTGATATCCTTGTGAAGGCTGCACAGGACGTTGAACCAGAGTTCTGTGGAGTTGAAGCCCTGTATGTTGCATCAGGCAAACTGTTCATTTTGGTTGAGTTGTTAACCAATGAAGGCTTCGACAGGCACAAGTTTTGCCACCGTGTGGGCAAGTCAGGGCACCTAAAACTTGTGGACGCTGATGATGATCAGACGCTCCACTGTGCTCTAGATCTGTATAATGGTAGTGAGGTTGTTGTCAAATGGGAAGTGCTTTAAGCTTTTGTATGCTGCTGTTGTGGTCAACCTGTTTCAAACATGTGGCAGTAGAAATAAACATGAAGTGTGGTCCACACATGGTATCTACAAGAGTTTGTTGGCTGATTGTTATCTGCACGACAACTTGGTGCATCTAAAGCACAAGCTCACTTTGGAACCCAGAAATCTGGGTTTTACTTGCACCCATTATGTTCAATTTGGATCATTATACCAGCACGCAGTTTTGCCATCGCTACTGTGTGATGAATGTTAAACACCTGCAGCAGTCGTCTTGCATTAGCTAAATTGCTCATCTCTACGGTGAGACAGTGCCGCCATACAAAGGCAGACTAATCGCACACTATCAATATCCAACAAGTAGAGTTCTGCGTTTTCATATAAATCTGATAAAACCTTTGCAACATCCGCTGGTAAAAATATTGTGAACTCTGATATATGTATGGTTCTTCGTTTTCGGGTAAAACCCAATATTACTTAATTTTTTCACCCTAAACAGGTGTTATGAGAATTGGGTCAAACCCGATTTCTTCCCAAAAGTCGGTCTTTACAGCAACTAAATTTATAAAAAAATTGTGAAGAAACTATATCTCTTTCGTATCTGTTTTTCCAGTCATTCATTTGATGGTTACAAACACCTTGGATTGGTGTCATCTCGGCATAGATTCACTTCGAAATGGGCCAGAAGGTGGAAAGGTACTGTGTGCTCAACCACCTTGGCTATATCGTAGACATTTGTTGACTTTTTTTCATGTGAATAACAAATTTTGTATATTTTCCCATTGCTTAATAAGGCCCGAAAAAACCCGATGCTTCCCCGATTATGAGTCTGAAAAATAGCACCCTATTTTATACCCTGATTTCTGAAAAATATAAAACCCCAAAAACGACAAACCCTAGATGCCTGAAAAACCTTGAATTTTGGAACTGCAAGTTGTAAAAGCCAAACTGTTCTTTATTATTTTCTGGAATTGTCAATCAACTTTCGCAATGAATGTCTCTTTCTCTGTTTGTACTTTTCTCTGTACGCGTCACAAAAATGTCCTTCGGCTTCTTGTGAGAAGGGTGGAGCCGTCTTGAAGATGCACTGAAAAGGTTTCTGAGATTGTCTCTTCTTGGTGATAACTCCTTCTACAGGCTCTAAGCATTCTAAAAACCCAAAAAAACATGTGTAAGTGACGCTTTTTTTCCTACTAAAATGTAATTTACGGGACACGCCCCTCTTGAGCAGAACTTTCCGCTCTGGAAGAGTGGCACGTAATCCAGCCCGAGATCAGGGCGACAACAGTGCTCGTCAGTTGTCCGTAAGCCGCTGTTGCATTAGCAGACGATGCAGCGTCATCTGCTATTGGAACGGTGGCTTACGGTTGGCTGACGAGCCCTGTTGTTACCCTGACGTCGAGCTCGGCTGGATTATGCGCCAGCCTTCCCGAGCGAAACGTTTGCTCAAGAAGGGCTTGTCCCAATCGTAAATCACATTTTAGTAGGGAAATAAGTGTCGAATCACCATAATTTCTGGATTTTTAGGATGCTTAGAGCCCGTAGAAGTTAACACCAAGAACAGACAATCTCGGAACTCCCTTTAGTGCGCCTTTGCATTGCTCTCAATGCCTTCAAGTGCGAATTTGGCGTCAGTGAGCTGAATTTTTGGGGAAATTCAGTGGACAAGCATGGCATTCATCCTCTCGAAGACAAGGTCAAAGTCATCAGGGACATCCCTCAGCCGCAAACAACGAGGAAACTCCGCGAGTTCCTTTGGCTGATCAGTTTATACAGGAAATTTATTTCCCACTGTGCAGCGATCATCCATGCAACTCAACAAACTTTTTATTGGCAATCCCAAGAATTTTACAGCAATCTAGTGGAATGAATCAGATATCCAACCTTTTCAAGCAATAAAGGAAGTGCTCGCTAAGGCAGTGCTGCTGTCCCATCCCAAAACCAACGCACCGATTTCCCTTGTGACAGATATGCCTTTGATGGAGTGGTAGGAGCGGTCCTCCAACAGTTCACTGCTCCGACTGGCAACCGATTTAATCTTTTTCGAAACAAATGACTCCAACCGAAATGTGTTGCAGTATGTTTGGGCATAAACTGTTGGCTAGATATCTCGGCGTGAAACACTTCCACCATTTTCTTGAAGGACGTCAGTTTGCCGTCATGACAGACCATAAACCCCTCACTTACGCCTTAATATCCAACAGCTCATCGTACATCGCAAGGGACGTTCGTCAGATGGCATACATATAAGAATACCCCAGCGACATCAGATTCATTAGGGGAGAGAAGTTAGAGAACAACAATGTCGCCGACGCACTATCAAGAATAGCAGTCAACCAGTGCAACACGGGCCGATTGCCCATCAACTTCAAGGGCCTTGCTGCCGCACAGAACGACGATCAGGAGCCTCAACAGCTTTGCTCTACTTCCACGTCATTGGTCCTGGACGAAATCAATCTCCCTGAATCTGAAGAAACACTTGTCTATGACATCTGTGCTGGTCATCCTCGGCCCTACGTACCGACACGCTTTCGACAAGGTGCTTTTTAACGCCCTCGACTCGCTCCCGCACCCCGGGATACGCAAGTCGCAGCGTCTTGTGTCATCTCGATTCGTGTGGCCAATGGTGAACACAGATATTAGGAACTTTGCAAGGACATGCTCACAATGTCAACGGGCTAAAGTCCACCGCTACGCTGTAACTCCTGTAGGATGTTCAAACTTCCGGATGCGAGGTTCAACAATGTCCACTTGGACATTGTAGGACGTACTACTATCACCGTCACACGACCATCGCTACTTACTTACGTGCGTTGACCGGTTTTCCAGGTGGCCAGAAGCAATGGCTACAAAAAACATCCCCGCAGAAACAGTGGCTCACACGTTCATCACAATATGGGTCAGCCATTTCGGAGTACCATGAACCACAACAACAGACACACAGTTTGAAAGCGCTCTGTTTCAAAAACTGTCTTCCATACGAACCACATCAGGATGACAGCCTACCATACATCCCCAAATGGCCTAGTGGAACGATTCCATAGACAACTGAAAGCCGCGATTCGGGCACACGACTTAACAGGACCATGGACCAAAATTCTTCCACTGGTACTGTTAGGCGCCCGGACCGCAGTCAAAGTCGACCTTCAGTGCAGCTCAGCTGAATTAGTATATGCCACGACCCTTCAACTTCCCGGAGAATTTTTTCACACCGAAAACAAACAGCAGTGTATGGACACAGATAATTACGCTGACCGACTACGCTTGACTCTGAAGAACATCCAACCAACCCCACCAGGAAAACAGTCGTGCAAAGTTTTCGTCAGCCCTGACTTACAACACCGCAACCATGTATTTGTGTGCAACGACAGAGTGAAGCATATCCTCTCCAGCGTCCTTATGATTGACCATATTCCGTTACTGAATGTCACGAAAAGACCATGACTTTGTCTAGGAACGGTCGGTAAGAAGTCGTCTCGCCCGACCGACTTAAACCAGCTCATCTGGCTAACAACAATCTAGAACCTTCCGAGAACTTCATCGCCACCACACCAGTAACACCAGTAAAATCACTCATCTCATCGAGCTCACCTCACTAAGGGGGGGAATCCTGTAGCGGCTCTCAGCAACGCGTGGAAAAGGAAGTCGATGGACACCGGCCGGCTTCCACGATGTTAGCACCCGACATCGTGTCAAGCGACTCCGCTTTATTTTGCCTTTGTAAATATGTAAAATGTAAATAAATTAGTTCAAAGTGGACAAGCCCCTTTCAGGGTGAATGTCGTATTTTAAAGGAAAGGAGAAAAGGTCAAAGAGGTCAAATTAGCTGTGCGAGTTTATACAGCGTAAGGTTGGTCAGCCTTTTTATCCTGGCAACACTGGTTCATCCTGTAGAAAATTAGGCTAGTGCGGTACGACTGCTCGTAGACTGGGGTCATGTGTCAGGCTCACGAACGCATGGTTTGATGCTCATCCAGATTGAAACGATCAGGGTCACAGTGGCGATGAAACATATTTCAATAAAAAGTTGTCCATGAAACATGTTGACAAAATATGTGTCGACGTGAATATAACGGCTGATCTCAAAGAAGCATACTTCATAGAAAGCAAAGCGAAGTCTCACCCTTGCATTCAAAGAAGTGACGTGACTTAAACTTGACTCGACCTTAGCTTGCTGCCATTTTCTACTTGACGCTAGCGGGCTTCTGAAATCCTTCAGAAGCCTTCTGAAATTCTGAAAACCTAAGACAGCTCTTCAAGTCCTGAAATCCTTTAGGACTTGAAGACCTGTCTTGAGGCAAACTTAGTTTGATTATAGTTCTCAACAAGACAGCTCTTCAAGTTCAGGAGGATTTCAGAAAAAAGCTAGCATCAAGTAAAATATGGCAGCAATTCAAGTTCGAGTCAAGTTCAGGTCAAGTCTAGATTTATGAATACAGGGGTCAGTTTAGAAAAACGCTGTCTGAAGTTGGCGGAAAGGGCTTCCAGACGGACCGCACTTTGGTCACCGTCCTCTGTCCCTCCAGGACAATAAATACCCTCTCTAGCTTGAGCGTGCGCCATGAAGGGTTTACTGCCAATTAAGGCTATTAAATCAAAAGAAGATGATACAGGATGCTAATGGCCCCAATTTTTTTTAGCGAAGTTAAGAGAGGGAACTAGTACAGCAATCGCTAAAACGAGCATCAGTAAACTGGACTGGGACCGGACATTTCATCGAACGTCGTTTCGTCAAACGCCGTTTCATTGAAGCCGTTTCATCGAATTCCGTTTTATCGAACGCCGTTTCGTCGAACACCGTTTCATCGAAGCCGTTTCATCGAACGCCGTTTTATCAAATGCCGTCTTATCGAACGCCAGGGTGGCATTCCTGCTTCCTGAAGCTGGTCGGAGGTACCCATCCAGGGTTCTGGAAGTTTTTGACTTGTATCGTCGCAGAACATCAATTGACGGAAGACAAGCTGGAGGCGATGCTGTGTACCCAAGAGCCTCCTCGCCAGAAG